GAGAAACCAAGCCAGCAAGATGGCTCAGCAAGTGGAAGCACTCGCCAGCAACAAGCTTCATGACTTTAGTGTCAACCAGCAGAGCCTACTCTGGTGGAAGAGAACTGACTCCTGAAAATTGCCCTCCGATTTCCACATATATGCAGTGGCTTCTGTGTGCACACACATACATAGAATGTAATGCTTTTTTAATTCCTAAGAAACTAACTAAAAAAAATTAGAATCAATGAATGAGTTCATCAAAGTTATAGAATACAAGATTAATATACAAAATAATGATATTCCTATATACTTTCTTAAAATGTTTACTTATTTATTTACTTTTAATTGTGTATCTGTATGTGCATGTGAGTGAAGTCCCTGTGACAGCCAGAAGAGGGCACCAGATCTGCTGGCGGTAGTCATAGGCAATTGTGAACCAGCCTACGTGGGCATTAGGAACCAAATTCTTGTCCTCTACAAGAACAGTACAGGGTCTTAACTGTCTAACTGCACAAATGTTGCACCCTGAAAATACAAGACATTGTTGAAAGAAATGAAAGATCTTCTCAATAAATGGCCGAGCATCCTATATTCATGGACTGGAAGGCTTACTGTTTAAAAACTACTCCCTGGGTTGACCTGTACCTCCAACTCAATCCTGATCTTAGCAGATTTTTTTGTGGATATTGACAAGCTACCAACTCTAAAATAATATGGAATTGCAAGAGAGCCAGAATCTACTCTGAAGCGAGCAAAGAAGACACATGAACACTCTGGTTTCAAATACACAGACAGCCAAGATGGTCTGTCTTTAAAAGACAGACAAATAGCACAGAATTGAGAATCTAGGCATATACTTGCTCATTTATAGTCAATTGATTTGGATGAGAGTGTTAAGATTATTAGATGCTTTTTCAAAAAGTCAAGCTGGGGCTAGAGATGTGGCTTACTGGTAGAGCATTTGCCTAGCATCCTCAAAGCCCTGTGTTCAGTCCTCGGCACTACAAAGCATGACAAAAACCCATAAATCCCTGGGTTCAATATCCCACATCACATAAACTAGACATTGTAGTGGTGCATGCCTCTTATCCTGGTCCTTTGAGATAGAGACAGGAAGATATGAAGTTCAAGGTCATCTCCAGCTACATGATAAATCTGAGGCCAGCCTAGGCTATTTAATTGAATAAAAGGGAGGGAAAGCAGGAGGGGAAAATCATTTTTAAAAGGTGGTCTTGGTTGCTATGGACTTCTCTGACACGAAAGCTTAGGAAATCAGCTACATACCTGGCCAGGTAATCCTCCCTGCTAAGCATGTACCACATACGAGAGTGAAGTACACCAGCCAGACAACCAGGACAAGGACCAGGATAAGGAGTACCTGCGGCCTCGCTCCAATCTGAACAAGGCTGGAGGCTGAGATCTCCAAGGTAATGTGTGCAGCTGTCACCGAGTCTCTGTGGGTAACTGCCTGGTTCTTCCTTTTCAGCACACAACTGCTAGTCTTGCAGACTCTGTGGTTCCAGGGCACGGTGGGCTCCAGCCATTTCATCTGAGCCTTCAGGATCTACCAGGGTATAACTACCAGGCAAACTGACCACAAAGGCTTTTCTACAGAAGGAATTGAAGTAGTAGCTGTAAGCTGTTCTGCTAAAGCCAGATTTGGCCCCAAGAAGAAGAGGCATTTCCTGAGTTTTCCCAAAAACTTTACAAGGAAAGAAATCAAGAAATCACACCCTTCTAACTGCACGAGTTTGCCTGGATGGACACAGCCTGGTACCTAAGGAAAAGGGTTTTAAAGCTGCAGATCTTTAAGGCTGACATATACCACTTCTGAGCTCCTCAAGCTGGTGAACGAGGTTGGACACACACACACACACAGGCCTCCCTGTTTCTTAGCCTCTAGCTGGCTGTATTATGGAAGATCTGTCCATCCCTTGTCAATTTCAGTGCAAAACAAACAAGACAGCAGATAATCTAGTTCAGGAAACAGGAAGTCCTTTCCCCCACAAGACTTGCAGAGGAAGGGGGATCCTAACCCGTGATCATTAAGAAAATGTAAAATGACATTTTAACACTGGATTTAAGAAGCAAATAAACCTAAGAGATGTAAATTCAAATAGCAAAACAGTCTGGTGCTACAAAGGCCAAATAAAGCAAGATGTCTACAACGCGGGACTTTAGCAGGGGGACAGAGTCCTCTTCCTGTTTCTGCCATAGGAGTTACGGGCATCAGTGTGAAAGATGCCAGCAGCCAAAACACCCAGGTGATGCTCAACGATGGGTGAACGTCCTCTCCCAATCTCTCCTCTGGGGCCTCTGTTTTTCTCTAGAACCCAGATGTAGTCATTTCCTTCATCCTACCAGAGAAAAATTCAAGGACGAAGCTCCCCTCTGTTCAAAAAGGCAGGTGCTTTGCCCCCAACCAGGAGAAGAACGCTGCTTTCCTACAGCAAACCCAAGTTTCTTATAGCTCATATCTCAAGCTCCAAAGGGCCAATTACCAAATGATTACAAAGTATCTTCTCACGGAAAGCAGTAATCTCCAGAGCAGCCTGCTAAGGGGTCCTCTTTAGGGAGCTGAGGGCTACTCGGAGCTAATAATCTCTGATGATTCACCTTGATCCCAGGAATGAAGTCAGCCTATCTGGTGCTAAGTTTGCCCAGCAACTAGCAACACTGCCCAGACAATGTCTGCATTTTCAAGTTTCAAGTGTGAAATGAATTAAGCACTACCCATCTTAGCCATTAGTGGGACTTTGCAAAAAGTAGATAGAAAAGTGGCTTGGAAGCAAGCAATGTCGAGCAACAGGAATAGAGCACATTAGACAGTGCAACAGGATGGAGATCAACTCCATTTGGGAGAAAGTTGGAAGAGAAATGTATCATAGATTGTGGAGTAGATGATAGTAGAAAAAAATCCTAGATCACTTTCTTGAGTGTAACAATAGCATCATAGTTATTTAACATTTCCAGGATTGAGCTGATCTATGTATAAAATCATATGATATCAAGATTTGCCTTTAAAAATACTTCACTGAGAAAAGAAAAAAGGGTCATAGTGTAAGTGGGGCAAATGTTGGGACTAAAGAGAAGAACATAACTATTCAGAATGATCCCAAGAGCATATTTAAACATCTTCAGCATAAAACAGCTTAAACAAACAATTTAGAAATATCTAGGACATTAGTCAGCTTTCTGACGGTCACATCCACAGCCCAGAAAATCTGTTTCCCTCACAAAGTACTTCCCAACTGGTCATCCAAAGGTCAGAGGGCTAGGAGAGAGCCCAGGAGAGGATCCCCGCTAGAAAGGAAACAAATCAGTGGAAGTGTCCTCAAAGACTCTTTAAGGAAGCTTCAGAATGTCAGGCTCCAGTGTGGGCTTCGTCCCTAAAACTGGATTTTATTCCCCGTATTACTAGTTGATGTGTAAGTGATTTTGCTTTTCTAACGCAAAGGTCATAGCGGAAAAGCAAATATAGACTAATGAGATCCAGCGTCCTTGGGAACAGCCTGGAAACCATCAGGAACCCCTTGGCTTCACAGCCATCCCAAGGAGAAGAGAGTAGGATCAGGAAAAGGCAGAGACTAAGAAGACGTTACAATTTCTCCAAGGTAAGGTCAGTCCAGTGAGTCAGACTTTTTTATGTGTGAAATGACCCAGGAATTGAATGCATCCTCCCTCTACCCAGCCACGGCCAACTAAGTACACAAGACACCTTTTGCTTTACTGATTCTCCCAAGATGACAAATGGGCTTTGGAGGCTACAGGCACTCACATCCAGTGGTGATGTAAGGGAGGGCTCCAGCCAAGAGTCATCAACACTAAACCAGGCTGGTTGAGCTTCAGCCCTTTGATGTAAGGAGGGAAAGTATTCATTGGGCTGATTTTAGCATCTCTTCAACCTTAAGGACTCCGGGGATAAAATTAATTCGGGCATGTTTCAGACATCGTGCACCTCCCGTCTGAACTGGGTGTTCTCTACCCACACTGGGTAACTCAGTGTCCTAGTCTACACAGGGGCACCCCTCTGTTGCACATTCTGTTTTGTTGTGATATTGGTTGGTTGGTGGTTAATTGGTTGGGAACACTTTCGGAATCTTTGGAGCAGTGGGCCAGCGAGTGATGGAGAGAAAGGAATGTCTTTTTACTTCCGACTACATTTCTATGGGGGACTGAATAGAGACCCGTTCAGCAGACCACTACACCCTATGACTTCAAAAGTTGAGGGGGAGGAGGAGATGACACCAGTAGGGAACAGAGTCGGGGCAGGACACAAGGACCAAAAGGCCCGCGCATTTGCAGTTAGTATTGAGGGCCTTGATTCTAAAGACACCGGACTCTACACACCACCTGAGGATTCACTAGTGCGGGTTCTTTCCTACTGCTCAGTCTCTCCTGGATAACGGTGGTAAGAGGTTCCCAGGGAGACTTGGGAATGAATACTTGGCGCCAGGACCTTTCTCCTACTCTGTTCACTGAGCTCTGGCTCTCGGTAGAGCCTTTCCAGCAAGCTGGGTAGAAAAATCCAGTTGCAAGCTATGCGCTCCCACAGCTGCTGGACACTCGACCCCACGATGCCCAAAGCCACAGTCCCAGCCTCGCTGAAGTGTCTTCCTTGCCCCCTCCCCGCCATAAACACTATATCTCAAAAGCCAGAACTCTTGGCTACCAGCCCAACTTTCCGAAGCCCCTTCCCCATTCTTCAAAGCTCGCAGCTTGCGCCCCAAGGCCCCACGCCTCTGTCTGGAAGCGCCTTGGTTGCCCAGAAGACAAGCACCCAGCTCCTGGGATCAATCGACCGACTCCCAGGACCCAGGCAAAGTGGGACTGGGCGGGGCTGCTGGCTTGGGGTTGGGGGTAGGGGGACCTGTCAGCCTGCACGTCCTCCTACATTCCTGGCCCGAGCTGGCCCAAGGGAGGAGGGAGAGGGGGACGGGATGGAGCCTGGGGATGCTCCCGCTAGCCCTCGGACCCTTTAGCGCGCTAAAGGGGAGAGGGGGTGACTGAGTTCTTACTTGGCAGCTGGGCTCCGTGTGGCCAGGCTGGGACTGGGCTCTCAGCGGTGGCCCCTCTCCGCGCCGATCGCCGAGGGCCCGTCCGCTGAGAAGCCAGGGTAAATGCTGGGAGGCGCGCGCTTCAGTTGGGGCAAGCTTTCCGCCCCGGACTTTTAAAGAGAAACTCGCGGCAAACCCCACCCCCGACCCCAGCTGCCCCGAAGGCGGCCTCCAGTTTAGCCCGGCCTCCACCCTTTGTTGAACTTCCTCGGTTTATCCCGGGATTGGGGGGCGGGGTGGGGTGGGGTGGGATGGATCAGCACGGGTTGGGGCTGGCTGCTCGGGAGACCGCGCCGTTCCAGACCTTGCACTCTTCACTAGAGGATTCTGCGCTCTCCACCTCCTGGTCCCGCGTTCCAGTTCTCTCAGGGTATGATTTACCAGGATTGAGGCGGGCGCTGAATTCAGCTTTTTTACCTGAACACTAAAAGTTGAAGTCCTCATTCATCTCTCTCAGGCTTCCGGTCCCTTCTCTGGTAGAGGGATTCCGAACAGCCAACCCACACTGTTCGCCTTTCAGTTCGAGCTTCACATCTGTGCATTGAGTCAGGACAGAAAAATTGAGACAAGGGCGGGAAAAGAAGCCAGTCACTGGAATCTGACTGGAGTTTAAAACTTTTATCACTTCCGATAACACTGAAAATAGCCTGGTGCTGGTCTTCCTAAAGACTCTTCAAGCAAGAAGTTAAAAATAAACTAAAGATAAATCAAGCTGGTTTAGAGCTCTGTATCTAAATGCCCCTCACAAAACCACCTGGAAATTCTGCTTACAAACGAAATTCTTTCAAGATAAGGACTGCAGGAAAACCAGCTCATATCGTTTTAATCTGTCAACTTTACTTAAATGCTAAATTTCGCTTAATTTTTAAGCTTTATAAATGACATCCTTTGAGCAACGCAGTTCAGTAAGCCAAGGGATCATCATCACAGGGAGAAAGTGCCTGAAGGTGCATATCTTCTCAACACTCTTCATCTAAATTGTGCGTGCCTGCGTGTGTGCGTGCATGCGCGCGCGTGCGCGTGCACACTTGCTTGTTGTGAAGGCCAGAGGTCGACATCTGGAGTATTTAGTAAGGCTCCACACTCTTTTCATTTAAATAAAAATTGTAAAATTCTTTGAGTTCATGCCTACATAACAATATATTTCACTCTCTGTCCTTCTCTCTAACTTCTCGAGATCCACTCCCCACCTCCCAGCTTCCTTTTCTCTTTGAAAATACAAATAAAAATAAAAACTCAATGAGTTCAATTTGTGCTGCCCATATGTGCATGGGTATGTGGGGGCCGTCCGCTGGAGCACAGCTGACCTAAAATAAGCCTTAACAAACATTGACTCTCCCTCCCAAGGAAGACATGAATTCTCTAATAGGTCCTCAGCTAGGCTTGGAGGCTGGATAACCCTTCCCTGCTCTGAGCTGGAAGGTTGATTGCCTTGGTCTTAGGCAGATCTCATGCAGGTAGACACAGACTGCTGCAATGGTGCTACAGGGTCTTAGAAGACACTGTTTCTCCCAGCCCTTCCTGACCTCTAACTCTTAAAATCTTTCTGCCCCCTCTTCTAGATATTCCCTGAGAAGGGGGTATGACACAGATGCCCCATTTATGTCTGAGTACCCCTTAGATATTTAGCCTCTGCACTTTGACCAATTGTGAGTCTCTGGGTTAACTGCTATCCACTGCACAAAGAAGCCATCACTTTTGCCATCTAAGAGCTGCACTAATCTATGGGTATAAGAGACATGAATGTGGAGAACAGTTTGCTATGGCAAAATGATAGTAATTGGTTCGCCACTAGGGCCTATGAGCCCCCCCCAACCATGGTTTCTTTGCAATATTTATAGTATATGCAATAAATACAGATATTTATGTGTTTCTCCTGTGGACTGGGCCTTAAATCCAATCAGAAAGCAGCTGGTGGCACCCATAACCTTTGTGCCAGTATTGTGCCCACCCAGGGACATAACAGGGTTCACAAGAAGATAAGACTGTTTGTTGTTGACTTCTCTCACCAGGCAGCCTGCATAGACCTTCCATTACAATGAAATCAAGCCATCAGGGAGAAAGCTTCATGGTCAGTGCAAAATAAATTACTTTAATGGAAGTATTATCAATGAATAAATATGGCAGCTATATTTCTTTACTTTAGCTGGTCCCAAATAACCACACGGAGAAACCAAGATTTATTTCAAGCCTCACCTTAATACTTGGGCAATTAAATGATCTATTGAAAATCCCTATAGTAATCTGGCTACCTCCCAGCCCCAGCCCCAGGCTCAGCCCCAGCCCCATGATACTTGCAGTTGAATATGTTCTAACTCTCTCTGCTTCAGATGTTTCTTCTCATGGTATCTTCTCAGACCCTCTCCTCCTGGCTCTCCTTCCAATCTCTCTCTCTCTCTCTCTCTCTCTCTCTCTCTCTCTCTCTCTCTCTCTCTCTCTCTCCTCTCTCTCTA